GTCAGGGTGCTGGTGTAAGCTATTGAGCCTTCTACCTTTGGATTTCTCGCAATAAAATTCAGAAACAGACAGCTATGCCTATACACAAGGTACCTAAGAAAGAAACCGAGACTGAGACTGAGCTGGAGGGTCTTAGACACCAGTCCAAGTCCTAGACAACCATTTGCTAGAGGCTTAGTAGACGTGAACCCTGAACTACCCAGTTAACAAGAGGTCATTTGTGCTCTACTCCCAGTACCCACGAATATATTCTTATTCCTATTTGTCTGATGTGTTTTATTGCCCTTTTCTCTTTTAGTTACTGACAATAAAGTAAGTACCTATTTATTCTTATCGCTTTTTACTTTAACTTTTCAACAGAAATTATTCCGCTTCACAGCCGCCTACGATTTAAGCAAAAATTTATACTCGTTTTAACGATAGTTTTGTCAAAAACTTTTCTTTGATGTAGAAAAATTATTAAAACAATTGACCCTATATATAGGCCGTCCCTGTAACTTTTCGTTAATTTCAAATGCAAAGTGCTCCAAATTTTAACAATAACGCCTTTGAGCTCTTCGAGCTTAAAAATCTAATTTGTATTCAGTAACACATTTTTAATTAAATATTTGAACTACAATAACTTGCAGTCAAATTATCCGATTTCAGAACGCTCGTCGGCATTTAGCGTGGTTAAAAGATGGAGCTTTATTAAAGGTTTCAGAAAAAAATACAATCTGTTAGAAAATTGAAAAATTTTGTTCGTTCTATTAATTTTTTAAAAATTAGATATTTCTCGAACAAATCAATCGATTTTGATGCAATTCTCGAACGTATTGATAACAAATACGTTCAATGATACAAAAAAAATTAACTCGATACAAAAGCAAAAATTTTGAACCTAGAACATCATTTTGAAGAATTAGATTATCTTGAATTATTATGAAGTAGAAAAATTTTTAATGCAATGAACTTTCTTAGGTCAAGAATTTTTGTGCTTGATTTAAGATAATAATATTTTCCAAAATGATATTATGGGTTCAAGATTAATGATCAAGTTAGTGGATCATCGGGCAAAGCTTTAACTAAAGTAAAAAGAATAAAAACACTAAAGTAATTGAATTTTTGAGGGGACCCATTTTGCCCATATTTTAATATTTTTATTCTTTAAAAACGTATCATAAATTAATAATAAAAACGTAGTAAGAAATTTAAAAAAAAGTAAAACGAGTAAAAAAAAACTCAAATAATAATTTTTTTAGGGGGTCCATTTTGCCCCATTTTTCAAGATTATTAAATTATTTTTGCACGCCTCATAAGCGAAGCGTTGAGGTTGTGCTCTACTCTCGACATTTCGAAAAAAGCAGTTTTCTCGAAACTGAAATTGATTTTTTGTTATTTATATCGCACTTACAGGTTAAAATGAGTACACTTATGTCAAGTCAAATAATTTTTCAGGCACATAAAATATATTTCAATAACAATTTTTTTGTTTAACATAATAAATAATAACATTAAACATAATCTTTTTTGGACGTCCATGTATGAATGGGTGTATGTGGCAGGGAAATTGGTCGAAAAAATGATCGTACCGGAATAATTTTTTTTTAATTATCTAAAGTAACACACGACAGAATTTCTTAGTTAATATGAGCGTTCAATTCACTGTCGTTAAATTATTATTTATAAAAAACTAATATATGACTGTGGATTTTTTTGAATTTCTATCTATACATTTTACTATAGTATTTTGTTTCCTCACCTTGGCGCCACTAAACCATAGCAGTGTTTTCTGTTTTTTATTATTTTGCTTTTTATATTTTATTTTAATCAATTTTATTTTAAAAAATGAGATTATGAGGCGTGCACTTTTGGATTTTCCAAACTTTTTTTCAATGCATGCAGCATGTTGATACCAAATATGTGTCGAGGAATTAAAAAAAAAAAAAGTGAAACTAGCGAGGAAAACTACACAGAAGAAAAAATTAGGAAAAGGTTGACCCTTAAGGCCGCATCCCTGCAACTTCCCGCCAATTCTATACCTAAACGATTGAAATTGCACTTATGACGTTTTTAAGCTCATAAATATAATTTGTGTGTTATTTTGAGCTCTTCGAGCTCAAAAGTTTGATAGAAGTTTGATAAAACAATATTTTTTGAATTTTCAAATCGCAATAACTTTTGAATGAACGAACCGATTTTCACGCGGTCGGTGGCATTCGACGCAATTTTTTAAGCTTCATGAAGAATCTTCAAGTTTAAATTGATAGAACGAAAAATTTCGGAGTAATTCCGAAAAAACATGTTTTTCGGTTTTCTTTCGTCAACGATAACTCACGAACGAATAAACGGATTTTGACCGGACGGGCAGCTATCAACGTGGTTTTTTGATATTAAGAGCTGATTAGTTTTTGAAATTGATCGGTAGAGCCGTTTAAAAGTTATTTAAAAAAAAAGCACATTTGAAAAAAATTTTTTTTGTAGTTTTATTGCAATTTCTCAGTCTTCCCTGTACTATCTATAGGGAAAGGAGAGAGGAGGATGTTTAGTCGGTATTGTTGCAAAATAATATTGACTTTTGAGTCCGACATACTCAGGCAAACACCTAGTCCTGGCACCAACACCAAGTCCTGGCGTACGTAAATGTATTTTACCTCCTCTACAAAAAAAAAAAACACACACACACACATACATACATACATACATACATACATACACATACACACATACATACATACAGACATACAGACATCATCGCGGGAATAGTCAGGGAAGCTTTTTCTAGGACCTCGAAACGTCGAGATTCGATGAAAACTCGATTTGCGTAAAACGGAGTGAAAACAATAACTTCCCGAGTTTTGAAAATCTTCGATTTTCTTAGCGGGAAGTTAAAAATAGACTTGAATCAAGAAAAAATTCTTGAACCAAGAAAGTAATTTTAAAAAGTTTCATTGTCTTAAATCGAGACGAAAAATTCTTGAATCAAGTAATATTTACTTAAACCAAGAAAAATTTCTTAGTTTAAAAATTATTGTACTCAAATCAACTTAAAAAACTCAAATTAATAATAATAATAGTTTCTTTATTTAGCTTCAAGCTACAATATATACATAAAAATTATATAAAAGATCTTAGATCTTTTATTACAGATCAACACTTGCTTCCCGTCTACATTTAAAATTTTTCCTTCTCTTATTTCTTCTCTTAACAATTTTTTAAAAATTACTAAATTTCTTGCATTTTTTGTGTCTATATTTAACTTGTTAAATAATGAAAAACCATACATATTTATTGTTTTTTGAGCACTCACAGTTCTTGTTCTTTGTACCAACAATCTATTTTTGTATCTTGTACTATAATTATGTTCATTCTCAACAACAATTCTATTTAAATATTCTGGTAACAAGTTATTTTTCATCTTATATACAAACACACACACACATTAAATTTAATTCTTTCTTCAACAGACAGAAAACATAGTGCATCTAGCATACATCTAATTGGCGTATATCTATTTACTCTTAGTATTAGTAAATAAATAACATGATTATTGTGGTGATAATTATCATTATCATTGTGATCTCAATCATTGTAGTCATAACCATCGTGATCATTGTGGTCATAATCATCATGATGATTGTAGAGATTATAAACATCATAAACATCAAAGTCATTACATTGTGGAAATCATGACTATCATGGACATCACGGTCATTATAAACTGGATGATCATGATAATTGTGGTTTTGATAATCATGATGATCATAATAAATATGATCATTATGCTTTTTGTGATTGAAATTTTCATAAAAAATTAGGAATACGGTTGACCCTAAAGTCCATCCTTGCAACTTACCGCTAATTCCTTACTTAAGCGCTCAAAATTGCACTTATTACGTTTTTGAGCTCTCCGAGCTCAAAAGTCTGATAGAAGCTGAATAAAACACTATTAGTTGAATTTCCAAACCGCAATAAGTTTTGAATGAATGAACCGATTTTCACGTGGTTGGCGGCATTCGACGCAGTTTTTGAAGCCTCATGGAAAATTTTCAATTTTTAATTGATCGAACTAGGAATGTCGAAGTAATTCCGAAAAAACACTTTTTTCGGTTTTTTTTTGACAACGATAACTCATGAACGAATCAACTAATTTCGACCGGGCTGGTGGCGATCGACGTGGTTTTTTGATCCTAAGAGCTGATTAGTTTTTGGAATCGATCGGTAAAGCCGTTTAAAAGTTATTCCAAAAAAAACCACATTTGAAAAATATTTGTTTCGTAGTTTTTTTAAGATTTCTCAAAATCTACCGGTTCGAATTGGTCCAAATTGTATTCAAAATCGATGTTTAATCAAGCCCCTTTGATTGGCGCTAACTGCAATGAAATTGGTCAAGTTGTTTAAAAGTTATAAGAGGTTTACATACGGCTACACACACACACACACACACACATACACACACACACACACACACACACACACTCACTCA